AATGATATATTTTCTTAAACTGCACGACGATATCTACAAACCTGCAAGGTTTCAACTAAATCGGTGACACGAAAAACTTGCACTCTCCTTGCAAGTAAAGAAAGGAACGAAAGTAAGGGAAGGTACGTAAGGAAGGTAAGTAAGGTAAGTATAAGGTAAGTATGAGGCAAGTAAAATTATTAAAATGTACTGCAAAGCAGGAGAAGAATTGTCCAGGGAATTCTTGGACATGACGTAATTCCTTGGAAGTGGTCGGCGAACAACCTCCTGTCATTTTATGTTACCCTAATACAAAGTTGCAAAATCGGCCGAAAATTTTACGGCAAGACTGCAAAAGTATTGTCCAAAGAATTCTTGGAAATGACGTCATTTCTTGGAATTGTTCGGCGAGAATGTTTCGGCCGATTTTACGATTTTGTATCAGGGAAACATAATGTGACAGGAGGTTGCTCGTCGAGATAGTTCCAAGAAATGAAGTCAATTCCAAGAATTCTCGATGAATACTTTTGCTGCCCCGAGGAAAAGTTTCTGGCCGATTTCGTGATTTTGTATAAGGGGAACATAATATGACAGGAGGTATCTTGCCGAGACAGTTCCAAGAAATGACGTCATTTCCAAGAATTCTCGGTCAATACTTTTGCAGCCTATATGGACAACACTTTTGCCGCTTTTGGACAATACTTTTACCGTCTCGATGGACAATACTTTTGCGTTTTTGGTCAATACTTTTGCCGCTTTTGGACAATACTTTTACCGTCTCGACGGACAATACTTTTGCGTTTTTGGTCAATACTTTTGCCGCCTCGGTGGGCAATACTTTTGCCGTTTTTGGTCAATACTTTTGCTGCCTCGGTGGACAACACTTTTGCCGTTTTTGGTCAATACCTTTGCCGCCTCTGTGGAAAATATTTCGCCGCCTTGGTGAAGAATACTTCTGTAGCCTCGAAAAAAAATTTTTGGCCGATTTCACGACTTTGTATCGGGAGAACATGATATGATAGGAGGTCGCTCGTCCAGACAGTTCCAAGAAATTACGTCATTTCCAAGAATTCTCGGACAATACTTTCGCCGCCTCGGCGAGAATTTTTCGGCCGATTTTAGGAGTTTGTACCAGGATATCATAACATGAGGGGAGGTTGTTTGCCGATCGATTCCTAGAAATGACGTCACTTTCCAGGAACATTATAGAGACAAATTTCGTAGCATTTGCGCGAATATACATACTATATGTAGACTATTCGTTCCAGAAGATTTCAAAGATTTTACTTTGCTTATTTACCATACTTACCTTACTTAACTTACGTCTTTACTTACCTTACATCCCGAACTGAACTCTTCTTAATTTACATATTACTTTAGCAGATACGATCCACTCTTAATTTTCAAAGTTCAAAGAGAACATTGAAAGTTTGCAAGAGATAGGACATATCTTAAACTTATTACTAAATCATTGCTGAATTATGTATAATCTATAATTCACTTATGGCTAAATAATGTCTAACTTATAATTAATGACTAACTTAAACTAACTTATACCTAATTAATGACTAGCTTATAATTAAATTATAACTAATTAATGACTAATTTATAATTAACTTATAACTAAATAACGACACACTTATAACTAACTTACAACTAAGTTATAACTAATATTTCAACTTTGGTGCGTAGCTCTTAGCTTGGTATCGTCTTCCAAAAATTATTCTTTGGAAAACGATACCAATTACCAGGTCTCACCACGCGGAGGTGGCTACGCATCGAGACCCGACATGCGCCCTAGTGGCGCAGCCTGCTGGCGCTATCCGTAACAAAGGCATCCTAACCTAACTTGTAGCGATAGAAATTAAAGAGAATCTACTGACACTTTATCATATTTCGTGTCTTACAAAGGGTACTTCGATTCGATATACTACAACTCTACTGTCGCAACGCTAATATATTGTATTTTAACAGACTCTAATATTTCTAAGTTCCCGTAAAAATAGGGAATCAAATACGAAAGACGCGAGCAAGTGAAAAATCGCGACGCGACCGAACGAGATCGCGATTATTCGAAAGACCGACTAGCCTACGAGATGTACGCTCGTGTACAAGACAACTTCATGCCTTGGCACTCTCCCGATCGGGCCTAGTCCAAGTCCAGTCACTGCTTTACTCGTCAAGACTTACACGTGGACCAAGGATAGTCCCCGAACCACCGAAACCCCAGAGTCGATACAAGGGTCCGGCGGGGCATTGCAAGCCAGACAGACACTTCGCATCCCAGCCACACGGGGTAGAACTTAATCATCCCTGTGGTCTAACCGTAGACACTATGTCCGTCCAACTGCGTACCCGAACCCCAGTCGCGTACGCGACCGGGGCAGCTGAACCCCCGCATCAAGTCCAGAAGAAACAGTGACCCGGGGGCCACCCTGGAACTCGATGCTTGACGAGATTGACAGTGACTGGAAATGAGTGTCGGAGACGAGTCGTGAGGATGACTTATGAGACGTGAAGTTGTCGAGTACATGGGAGTACGTCGCGCAGGCTAGTCGGTACCTAAGAACAATCGCGATTATCGCGAGAACAATTATGTTCTGTTTGGTAAACGACAGGGATAAGGAAAAATATATAGATTCGCTCCAAGTTAGGTAGCTTACCTTTGTACGGATAACGCGCACATGATACTTAGTCTAGTGATCTATCTTACAACTACTTAGGTCTAAACACACGCATCTTGCGTCGCCCATTGATGCGTCCCAAATGAAGTCTCAAGGAAACTTAAGAATTTTGAGAATCCTAAAAGCTAAAACAGAATATATTATGGTTAATATATCCTGAAAGGAAACGGATTAGTAAGAGGAAGGAAAACGAACGAACAGAAACCATGAAGGTTAACCAAGTGAAAGAAACAACCCAGCGATGAGAGAGAAACAAACCAAGGAAGAGACATAGACAAATCAACGACGAAACATTCGAATATTATCCGAAATATTCGAATTCTCAAATATAAATAAATAAAAATGAAGAAATAAAATCTGAAAAAATGAAAATAATTAAAGCCTGAAAGAAAAATGTAATTAGAACTTGAAAAGAAACCTATGCAAAACACAACGATGAGATATAAACATCCCAACGATGATAAACAAAAAAACCAACGACGTAACATTCGAATATTATACGAAATATTCGAATGCTTAAATAAAAATAAATGAAAATGAAGAAAGAAAATCTGAAACGATAAAAAATTATTAAGAGCTGAAAAAAGAAAAAATAATTAAACCTGTAAATAAAAAAAAATTAATTCCTGAAAAGAAAACAAAAATTATTAGTAAATTGTTTAATGGGGTGGGATGAGGGTGGGGTGGCTAGCCCCAACCTCACTTCGAACCCCACCCCTCGCGCACTACGATAATTTACATGTTACACTCCCGAGACCGAACCGACAAATGAGTTATGCTGCGTCGCGTCGCCCTTTATATAGCCTCCGATCGGCCGGATCCCCCACCCCAATTAAAAATTTCCGAACTTCAACCATTCCATTAATTTTTCTTCTTCTGTGTTAATAACCAACAATTTAGTTATTTTTTCATTATCATTATAAGTTTACATTCTGGACAATTTGTTATTGACAATAAGTGTATTAATTTATAAACTTTTTGTAAATTATAGGAACATTTCAATAGAAATACATTAAGTGATTATAGAAAGATAAGTAATTAACCAGTACTTTATGAATTTTTTCACTTTTATTATAAATTTACGTTGTGAACAATTTATTATTAACGATATTAATTTGTTATTAATAATGAATTTTATAATTTATACATTTCTTATAACTGTATTCGCACTTCCATAAAATGCACTTCCACGATATTTATATGTATGTCAAAATAATATTATTTTTTCCCTATTTTTGGCTAATACAAAGTATGACACAAAAAGTAAAAATGTTAGAAGATTCATCCTCATCTTAAAAATTGGGTGCGAATTTATTTTTTAACGACTTTATATTAAAAAGTTATTCGTATTTGCGTAACGAATGACGAAACTGTTTTACATTACAAATAATCTAGAAAAATTTTTTATACTTTTGCGATTGGTATAAAAAGGCATATGGAAACATATATATGTTACACATATAAACAATGACTTTGGTGTCAATTACGTCTGACTAAGGCCCTGATGGAGCTAGTTCCACGGACAATGATTGCGTGACGGTAAAATCCTGCTTACGAGTTGCCGATATGTATTTTATTATACTGTCAACATTGAATATCATCCTAATATTGTTTCTAGATCGTTTCTTCTTCAGAAAATTCTATGGAATACGCTACTGTAGAGCAAGTTTGCGTCACATGATGAACTTTTTGTAAAAATGCAAGAATATGCGTAGAAAGTACGCTCGGAGACTTAGTTTTAAACTTTGATGACCAATTATAGTTATTCAGAAGCACAAATAATTATAATTATGTATTGCTAAACTTGGAATACACTCATCTAACGTCTAAGAGAAGAATGAACCTTTAACGAGAAACCGTGCACAATATGCTGCTTAAGAGCAGACGCACCCCTCAAAATACGCGTTAAGGTTTTGAAAATACAATGCCTCCAGCCGGTTTCTATAGCGCATGTTTATAGAAGTTTTCACCTAAATATAATTTCATGTTCAAAATAATTTAACATAAAAGTTAAGTTCAATCATTCGTCTTAACTTTCTGTTTTCAAGATTATTATATTTAACATCCTTTTAATACATGTTACGTACATAATGTTAAAAAATAACGAATAGGGAATAATGAAGAACTACTTGAAACTAGACAAGTTATTTAAAAATCGAAGAAAGTTTTGTTTATTTTTAATATTAAAAAAAAATTATCGTTCGAAAGCTAGATTTTAGGTACATTATTATTTCAAGAGTGACATAATAAGCAATACAGCAGTCTCTTCGCAGAAAGACGACATTGATTTCTATCCGTACAAAGTTCTAAGATAGTTAAGAAACCAATCAGTCTATGTTGAAGGTTGATAAACGGTACTATCCAAATTATTAAATGCCATTTGTTCATCGATCCAATAACGTGCGAATGCAACGTTGGCATAAACACCTGGAATTGCGTTCTCACCGCAACCAATTCCCCATGCTACAATACCTGCTTGCATATATATTGCAGGATTGTTTTTACTTGGACATACAAGTGGACTTCCCCCATCACCCTAAAAATATCATTTGTTTATTTTCGTTACGTAGCTGGTATTTACAGATTTCTACAATATCGAATTTATAATAAATTTAATTTACCTTGCAAGTATCTTTGTTAGCCTCTCCACCAGCGCATATAAAGCTTTCGTGAAGAATAAAGTATTTTCCTAATCTAGTAGTTCGAAGTCTATCCTGACATTGGTCAAGTGACATTACCGGCAACTCTACCTTTTTCAAGATTACCTGGTAGTGTCCCTCCTTACCTGTAAGACAAATAACCTTTCAATTAAGAATTTCAAAAGAATTACTTTATTATATTATTACTTTATCACTTGTAATTATTTTAATCGACAAACTCAATGATCAACATTCTTACCAAATATGTCTTTTCCCCAACCACTAGCGAAGCATCGCGAACCATCAAATACAGTGTTTCGTTCTGGCAGGCAAACGACGTCCACGTTCTCCGTAATATTTACTGGCTCAGACAAAATCAAGATGGCATAATCGTTGTGAAGAGAACCAGAAGAGAACTTTTCATGAACGATTACACTTTGCACATTGCGATCCTGATGGGGGAAGACTTCAGTCCTAGTTTGGGTGTCCCATTCTCCAGCACGAATTTTTAATTCGGACGGTTTTCTTCTGTTGGCAAATCATGTTACTTACTTTGTTAAAGAAAGTAAAATAAATTGCTAATCACGAGAAGTATATGAGGATATTTAACTATTTACCCTTGCACACAATGAGCAGCGGTTAAAACAGCCTGCCTATGAATTAAAGAACCTCCGCATTGATAAACACTCATTTTCGCATTATTCTCGCCGATAGGTTCGTCCTTTAATATGGCCACCATCCATGGGAATTCACCGAATTGCGCTTCGTTATTGGTGTTACCGGTAATTCGAAAACCAACGCCATTGGGATGTCTTTCTCCACAACTTTTTCTCACAATCGGCGGTGGTGTAATTATCTCATTGTCTTTCGTCTTATTTGGTGCCTTACAGCAGACATCCAGGTAGTTCGCGCATGGACCGAAGGCTCTATATCGTTAATAACATCGAAATACAGTATTAATACAGTAACTCTGATTTCATATACTTGAATCGGTATTTTATAACTAACAAATATGTGATGTAATTTAAATAATGCAACCACAATGGAAAATAAAATTGTAATGACTCATAATTATCGCAAAGTTGGTCCAAAGATAGTCTCATGCGGCGTGCGACCTCCGTTCGATCAACAAATTAGCGATCGTAAAACATTTAAAAGAATACCTGAATCCCACGTATTTGTTAGAGACATCATCATACATGCAGAACGCTCATTGCTCCTGATTTATTTGAAAATACGTGCAACTCAAGTGCGAGTTTCGTACGTCCCTGATTCCGGTGAAACCAATCCACAATTATAAAGTATTGTAACTTTTGCCGTTCTGAGACCAATCTTTGGGACTCACCTTGGCACATAAGTGTCATCATCGAAGCCCGACCTGATATCAATCAGCCCTGTTCCGTCGTCTAGTATGCTGCCGTCTCGGCACTGATAATATGGCACACATTCGCAATCTGTTGGTTGCTTTGGTCTATTCTGCGTGCCTAGAACAGGTGCTACCGTAGTAGTGGATTGAGTCCCAAACACCTCCGAAATCAAAGAATTCAAGCCTGAATTCTGGTCCGCAGCAGGAGCTGGAGTTGGTGTTCCAAATACGTTCGTTATCAAGGAATCCAATTTTCCGTTATCCTTTTGAGGGGCTGGCACAGCCAGAGGAAAGCTGACTACCGACAGTGTCAACAATATTCTCCACATCGCGATGTTGGAGGTCCTGAAAAAAAGGTCATTTTGAGGGTTAGACAAGTGGGTCTTTGGAATTTCAAGAGGTTGCGAGGTGTAAAATATCGGTGGTCTTCCTCGAGGCATTCTTCGACGCTTCTTTCGGCCGAGTAATTCATAAAATGAATATACTTCACAGAATACATTTGCAAAGAGTACAAGAGAACCTTCGCTTTAAAGAGAGAAGCTCATGGTTAGTCTCGACACAGCTGAACAGCTACAAAATAAGATAAAATCAATAATCTCGATGTACATCTCAAGGTGAATCAAGGTAAGTGTTGTGGGAGATCATGACTATACGCAACTTCGTGACTATATGATCACTATACCATTCTCACAAGTCAGTTTGCCTTCTGTCAGTTTCTTTTGCATATAAATAAGGATGACTTCACGGTTTGGTAGAAATCGGTGGCGGTAATATGAGAAAGGTATGAATCTCAGGCCCCTCTCCATCTTATCATGATACAAGAAAACAGGAATATGACTAGCGTTCCGTAAAAATTCATCGGATATCAAGCTCGAGTCGCTCAACCGTCGCTCAACATGGCTCGTTATTTTTCCTCTTAGTTTTATGGTAATTTCATCTATTTTCAAGGTATTCACACGTTAATCACTCATAGTTACAGGTAAACAAAGAAATTTGTGGTAGTTAGAGGTTTACAAGATGACGAAATATGTCGGTAAATGTATTTTACAAAATTCATACTGAATGTCGACCAAGCATTTCAGTTAGAAAAATGATAGAAGCGTAAATGTTGGATTTCAGGTATCGGAAATGGATATAAAATCTCTTGAAAATCTACTTAAGAGGATTCTATTTCGAAGTTTACGTCGTGAGCGCGTACAAAACTTTGAGTATAGCTTTTCTCAAATCATTATTATTTATACATATATTATTATCATTATATACGTATGCGTGTACGTAATCTAAACACGAAACTAGCGTATATTGGGTACGGGTAAATAATGATTACGGTTTAAACCAAAAGATGACTGTATATCTATTGTTTCGAATTGCGCTGGCATTTACGAAAGATTAGGTATAAATCGGTAGATGTATAACATAATCAGTGAACCGTAGGCAAATAATAAATGCGACATTTTAGCATGTGTATAAACGCGTAAACGAAGTTCACCAGAAAGTTCGTGGGTAATCGAATAACGTTACCAATTATTCGAGATATTCGCGATCTCTTATCCTCGTTAGAATTTTCCTGTTTGGAATTCCCTCAACTTATCGCAATCGATGTTTCTTCAGAAGAAAGATAATTTAAAACCGAAAATAACGTCTTCCTAATCTCGTACAAATTGCAAACATAAGCAGTTCGTCCTGTCCCCGCAATCGTGTCATGTCGAGAATGCTTGAACCTGACCTTTTTCGCGGAATGGTTGGCACGATCATCAAACCGGTACATTTATATGAGAATACATTTGTAAATATTCTTCGATTCTGTTGCATCGTTTTCTATGAACAAATTCTACGATGAATCGAACGTGAATACGGAATACAAATTGACGTATAAATATAAAAGAACAAACTAGGAAATTAAATGATACTTAATGCAGCACGTTCAAGTCATAAATCACGAACGAACCGTGAAATTTACGGTACAGTATGATTTTGCGAAATCTATTTGAACCATAAAAAGCACCACGTTTCGTGGAAATCGGTGTTGAAAGTAACAGTCAAGGACTTTTCAGGATTTCAATAAAACGATTGGTATTGAACATTTTTATCGATATTTTTATGTCATGTATATATTTACGAATAGCCTGACATAGGTAACACTTACAATTTGTCTATAATTCAAAACGGTACAGTTGATTTCTTTGAAAAAATAAGTTGAAAATACGTGTGATACTTATTTTAATATCATCAAGTACCAATGACTTAATTAACATTAATTAACGTTAATCTATCTCACAGCATATTAAAAAGAACGTAATACTTACAGTAAATCGATTTTAAGTATCCAACGCTGCGTATACTCTTTCCAGAACCGACGATAGCAACGCAATGATCGTTCGTTCGGGCCCAGATTTCCTCGTTTACACACACAGCAGTCGAGCTCCGAGTATTTATGAGAGTTACCCCCACCACATTTCCTTCATTCTCCATCCCAGCAGCGATCGTTCTCATGCATATACATATACGTTACTTCTTAACCCATTGCAACTCGGCCAATATCACTGCCTTGAAACATGTGGTATTCCCCAATGAGTAGCTATTAGATCTTACACAAATTTCCTTGAACGTTTATTGGAACAACCAAAATTCTCGTTTCACTGATGTCACTGATATGTGAAATTACGTTGAACTAACTTACCACGATATATTTCATGACGTATACGGTGACTCCCAAATTATGTATGTATATATATACTAACAAGTAGCCTTTCAACAAATCTAACAAGTTGTAAGACAAAGACTGAATGTCTAATAGGAGAATAATAAATTTGCATTTCTTCATACGTGAGAAAATAAAGCTTAGAAATCAATTTTCTGAATCCAAGCCATAATTCCTTAATATCATAAAAATCAGTCTGTAACTTCAGGTCTTGGAGTTCACTAACTTTGTTGCTTCGAAATAAGGTTAAATATATCTCTTGTTAAATAGAATATATTTGTTTTAGTGTTAGAAGAAGTTCACTTTAGTTACTATTATTTCATTGTTCCTTGGTTATTTTCAACTTTTTATTCACACAAAAGATCTGATACATACTAATTCATTTATTATACGCCAGATACGGTGATAATGATATGACAGACGGATTATATCGATGCAACGATTTAAATGTAGTTTAAAAAGTAGGTCAGAATAATGTACTTCCATTTATGATTATTAACGACGTATACGGATTTTTATGGATTGTAGTTTACGATATACGACAGACATATCGTATATAATTGATGGGTAAACACTGACTAGTGGAATGCCATATAGTGTACATTTACCTTGTGGTGATTCAAGACTACGTTATTTCTGTAGACAAATGATATATGTACGTAGTTTCATGTGCATTCAAAGGAAAAAGCTCGTAGGTTGTCTTTGTATTATTGTGAACAAAAGGTAACATTTATTATATTAATACGAATATTAAAATATGCAATATATTTCACCAAGGAACAATGTTTCATGGTAAATTATAGTATAAATATATAAAAGAAGAAAAAATTGGAAATAATTTCCACCAAAATTCTGTAGCATACACCTGCATTACAGGATTAATCATCAAACGAGTATATTCGTCATTTATAAGGACGAATACTTTTCCATGTTATCTATTTATTCAACCTTAATCTTTTAACTAGTTTTATTTTATCCTCTATGTAACTTTATGTAATAAATTGTACAAAAATGTACATTATAAATTAATAAAAGAGACTAGATAAAAAAATTTGTGAAATAGATTTATCGTTTTATCACGACCCGTATGTTGCTAATTGTTGGCTGATCCATTCCGTGTATT